CACGTGCACTTTAATCGAAAAAATACAAAGATATCCTAGGGATATTAGGTTTAAGTCATTTTTTTAGGTGATATATCCAGCGGCGTCGAGGACCTCGTTCCAAAGGTTATGTTCGTTCAAGCGGGTGCAGTGCGAGTCACGAAGACGATGAGTCACATCATGAAATGGACACCGTTTGTTACCAAAGTTTCACGATTATGATTACTATGCAAATTAGGCTGGTGCAAGTTGAATTAAGAATCGTGTAACTGTATACAGTTTTGTAATACTATCTCGGAGTTAATGTGACAATTATTAGGCAACGTATATCGGTAGATTATTTAATATGAATTATTCTGAGATGTTAAGCGGAGCGTGTCACAAGAGCGTGTGTATCTGGATAAGTGCGAGGTTACGCAAATCCGCAGATATGTTAGCTGTGCGGGCCGAACGCAGCTTGCACAAGGTTTCACAGACCTTTGTTTTACGCAACCCAATCGATTTAATAGCTTAACGTTTTCTTATAATGATTAAATTGTTTTGATATCTATTAATATGTGTTGCATGTTCAGTAGTATAGAAATAATTAACATACATGTATATTTTTCATCTTATTGTAGCAAATTTGAAATTTAATTTGTTCTGTTAGTATAGATTACTTTGTAATGGTGTTCCTTTGGAAATAGAAATCCAGAAATATAAATTTTATTAAATTTATTCTTAAAAAACTATTTTCAATTTAGAGCAATATATTTGGCGTTGAGAAAATAAAACGTTCCGGTAACACAAATAAAAAAATGCACTTTCGTATGTACGACAACGATGTCCGGCAATTCATTTCCCAGAACGACGCTCGCATTGTGATTTGAGTAATAAGTAGAGGTGATGCTTGCTCGAGATCAATGCACTACAACTACGTCCGGTGGCTGCGTCCGGTGTTTTCGTATCACCAAAAAAGGTGCGAACAATTTATTTATAGTGATGACGAACACACTCACACTCACATTCAACACATTTATAAATGACGGTGAATAAACTGTGTGCTGTTTTATAATTATATTTGACGTATTGTTTATTTAATGTGTTTAATAGTTGGTTCCGCACGAGCGATGGACGGCGTGGGGTAGCCGGTAGCGACATTGGCACAGTTGCGCACGACCTCACCAGCCACAAGTCGGACGAGGCCGCTAACAAACGCCTCAAAACGAATAACAGTCGTCTGAACACCGTCCTGACTCACATCGAATGAGCCTGGGAACGGTGTAATGAATTAAAAACATTACTAATCATCAGTCTACGCTATAGCAATTTATGCCAAAAACAATTACGCTGCACTAAATCATATTCTATATGTCAAAGATATATTCCTAAAACAAGTTTACGTAATATTTTATAACTTTAGTTCAGCTTTAAAGTCGTAATACTGTAAGACTTACGTAGTAGGGCGCAGAGCTAGCCATTATGCAAATATATAGTTGCAACTTAACAGTGTCTTACACCACAAGACTTTGGCAATTTGCTTTCAAAATGTTTTGGAAACAGTATCGCTGTAGACATGACAACACATTTACTACTAGGCGTCTTTCAGACTGTTGAATTAATGTATAAATAACAAAACACGGTTTCCAATAAAATAATGTATATATCGAGTGGCCGGGCTGGTATGCGTCGCGACGGCGTCTGCCGGCTCCTCGCGAACCGATTTGGAACATCCGCTAAAGACTGCCAGATCCAACGAAGTCGTAATTATAACGCGCAACTAACGTCGCCGACACGCCAAAACAAATTTGCGAACACGAAGACACATAGGAATCTATATAATTGACTACCAATACAAGGTGCGAGCGAAAAAAATTTTTTTTTCGTAGTATTAAAGATGTATCGAGTTGCGTAATTAAATACGTATCTTGAGCTAGTAATTGTTCGCGAGGGATGTGATCATGTGATCATCCGATCCGGCTTCTAAGCACCGTGTTACGCAAAAACCGGCTTTTGTTTTGTTACCTGGGACGTTTTTTGGCGGGGGCGGGACGAGCCCTAACAATACGACATTATTTTATACCTGAAACTGTTTACAAAGGTCCTGACTTTGAGCAAAGAATCGCTGGCTCCGAAGCGTCTGCCTTCGACGCGTATCTAATTTTATTTTATGACAAAACCTGTTCGGCAAATTCAATTAAATAGAAGTAACCCAGTTTTGCATTCAAAGAAAGCTTAGCAAAATGCATCTCTATAACGAAAAATGCATTTCCGGATGTAGCATCCTATTTTTGTTTTGTTAAGATTTTTACAAAAAAGAAATAAATAATAGTATTTACAAGGAAACATCCGGCTTTGCTACAAATGGATGATGCATGGAAATAAAAGACTTAGACACTATTCATTATTTCATTTGTAAGTTAGATAGGATGTACATTATATAATATAAGGATTCTTTTTTTATGTTTCCCGGATCAAAGAAGTATCTACACTAACATAAAACTTCGCTACATTACTTGGCAGGTGCAAGTATTCTCCATTATTCCTATATATATATCGTTTTATAATATTTTTATATCTGTATTCATAAAAGTTTTACAATTTTAAACTAAAATATAACATGTATTTTGTAAACAACCCTGATTTTAATGTCAAAGTATCTTTTGAGTCTGAACGTATTGGCAAAGAATATTAATTCGACTAGTCTCAAAGGAGGAGTAAAACTAGGGAGTGTAGAGAAAATCCACTTCAAAGCGTAAGGAGAGACGCGAAATCAATATTAATGTACTTATTTACCTTTGAGATGGTTTCGAACCGTGCGATATAGCTGCATGGAGTCTACCGGATGATACGAATTTATAATCAGGGGTGCCTTTGTACGAGACGTGAGAACGGAGGTCGAAGGGCGGGTCACTTGCTTCGATTGCACCTTCCACAATCCGAATTGTTACTATTCTCACGATGAACGCAAAAGAATAATCTTGACCGCGTCATATGAGCGATCATTAGAATATATTAGGGTCGCGCAAGGTCAGCTGCCGTATGCAAATCATATCTGACCGTCCCGATGACTAGTTGCTGGGAAAATTAGATGCCTGATAACGGGAGATGGTTTTGGGTCAACATCCTTCCAGCTGGCTACCTGAGATGGAGCGGTCCGTTAATACGTTTAAAACAAAAAGTAGCATTTCCTTTCCTAAATGACACATGCCAGTAGTGGACGTGTCGTAGCGTTCTATAAATATTTGGTCCGGTTCCTTGCAAAAACTAAACTTATGTAGCTCTTCACCTATTTATTTTTATACAGACCTGTTAGTTCGTAATTATACTCTTTGATATGTAATGAGCTTGGTATGTTCATTTTAAGATTTACATATTTTTGCAAGTCTAGCGTATTACTATTTTCTTTGCTATTACCTAAAAGGAGCAAAAGTTTTTACATTTGAGCCACGAGTTGCCGTTCCGCAACGCAAAACGTCGCTTTTGACGAAGATCGCTTTGATAGTAGTCTACTGGAGAGTATTAAATTTTGCTTTTTTTCTCGACCGTCCATTCAAAGCGACTAAGTTAATACTGTTGAGTAAATATGACAAGATAACGTTCAATGAAATACAGGACTAGTGACTGAGTATTTGAATACACAAACATGTTAAAACTTTCTACATATACATTTATTTGACGAATGTCATTCGGGACGAAATAAATGGAGTCAGGTCAAAGGAACCGTTATTTGAGAGTCGGACTTTTGTGGAGGCGTAACGAAAATTGTCTCGGTCGGGATGGCAAGGAGAGTTGAAAATACTTTACATTAGGCACTGGTTATTGAACTGATCTCGGGATAACGAAATATTTTTTATACGACAAAAAACTATCCAACCGATGAGATTTTAAGCCTCCGTTGTGACAACACAAAAGGAATGTTTATAAGAAATATTGATTAAACAGCCTATCTAAATAAAAATATATACAAAAAAAATAAAAATATAGTAGACTATAGGAGACAGGTGGATAATAGAATTTAATCAGTACATTAAAGGAATGTGATGTTGATGTAGGGTGCATAAACGCTTTTTATTGTGATATTAGGGAGCCACCAGCCATCAAGTGATCTAAGGGGAGTCAGGTACCCGTATGGGGTCGGTGGATGTCGAGAGGTGCGCGGGCGCGGCGTCACCCTTGACCCGATTGTATTATACGCAGCAATGACACCGCTCGCCTTGAGCCGCTAGCATTGCCGGAGATATTCGCAACAATGGAGGCCAGATAATGTTTTAAAAAGTCGAAAATTTACCGGTTCCTACCGGCTGTGTGTAATTAAGACGTTTTAACTTGTAACATCTTCGCTGCCGATATTACAATGTTTTGATTGTATTAGTGGTTTTGTTTTAAGTTTGTTTATTTTTATTTAATATATATGTATAATTTGGATTGCGCGTTCACACTTTTCGGCCTGATGTCGAATGTAGATGTCTTGACGTAATTTTTTTGTAATAAATTACTTGATAACAGTTTATCGTTTTCTAACAAGGCGCTATCGAATGAAAAGGAAACGAAGAGCTACTTGATACATACTACGTTTCCGTTTCCGACGTTTTTGTGTTTTCAATTAAAAAAAAAAAGTTCTCACGAACGACCCTGAGTGGGCGGAGTGACAAAAAACCGAAAGCAATTGATCGATTCGGGTCGCCTATCTGCCTTTCTATACCAACAGCTGTTAAAATGTACTTCATAATAATAATTTAAGTCTAAAATAGATAATTTTGTCAACGCAAAATTACACAAGCTACATTGGAGATATCGTCTATAAGAGAACATTGCGTCAGCTATTTCATTGGCAAAATTTAGCACACGGCGGTCCAAACGACTGTTGTACTACGGTAATGTCGTATTTCAACCATTCGTAATTTATACTAAGCGAGATTTCTTTACATTAAATCAATATCCTTGCGAAAACACACACAGTTAGGAAATCATCAGCGTTTTATTGAAGTATTATTGATCCACCGAGGAATTAAATGAACGAGAAACATAAATGTTCTTACCTTTGGGGATCAGCGAAGACGAATTTCCTCAGCTTGAGGTCTCGTAACACAATGCCTTGCTCGTGGCAAGCTGCTACAGTTTCAGCCATTTGTCTGAACAGTTTCCTTGCTTCGTGTTCCCGGAGACGTTTTCTCGCTCTGACATACGAGTGGAGATCTGAGTGCGAGCGAGGGAAGATGAGGTACACCCTTTTATCACCAACCAACACCTCGTGGATGGGATTCACGTGAGGATGTCCATCCAGACGGTAGTGCGCTTGTAAGAGGCTACTGCAATCTCTTGATACTACCTGCAAACAATATCAGAGATTACAATCATTGATTTGTAATCGTAAGCTCTGAACGTTAGGTTTATAGACAGAATTTTGAATAAAACAAATGTTAAACTCGTCAGACTAGTTCGTTCCTAAAATAGCTAATGCTATACGAATCTAGTTTTGTTTAGGTAAGCACGTTTTTCATTGTTAATGAGCATAATAGGAATCTTATATTTTGACCTTTAAACCTTCAATATCAAACGACTCGATCCTATTTCAAGGGAACTATTGAAAAGACTAAATCTAATGTGAATAACGAGATAACTGAATAGGTTGACCCTTCGTAATAAAAGACAAAGGCGGATTCAAACGAATTTCTTGTCTGGCAACTTTGAATACTTTTATACATATTTCTTAAGTAGATTTACGTTGAAGGTAATATTGTTTGTAAAAAATATTTTTTATCTATTTGTGTAACTAGTAGCCTGGTATTTATTTCTGATCATTTATTTCGGAACTTACTTAGTCAAAATGTCAACGACTCGTGAACGCAAATACCAAATCTGATACTCCGACTCATAAGTGATGAATCACATCGCGTGCGTTATAGCATTTCTTTTTAGTCATACTGTATTAATAGAAACAGTTAAATTATTTTGAGTATATCGCAGACGTATTGGCGCAAACATTATTATATACACGGCCCTTGGAAAAATACACGAAGACTGACCTATTTCTTATAAGTATTTGCCAAAAAACGATAAGAAATCGCAACACTAGATAATATTCAGTTCCAAACGCTTTTTACGGCAGCTAACCTAGTTACTGCTATCAATATTTATTTAATACAAGGTATTGCAAAATATTTACCTATCCATATGGCAGAAATAAGGTTGAACAAAACGATTGGTTTGGTATTTTAACGGGTCGTTTTGATTCAAGTTACAATATTTATTACGATATGATATGATGCAAAAAATCTTTGGCAACGACTTGAAATAAGTTCTTACTTTATTATTTGATACGATATAAAACTGATGTGAGATTTATTTATAATATATTATGTTCTTTGAATTCGTTTACTGTTTTTGTTAAGTGAGGCGTGTGATAAGCGAAGTCGAACCAGCAATGAACTTGTAACAGTGTAGTCTATTACGTCTTAATGGAATTGTATAGTGGGGGGAGCCGAAAGAGGGGGCCCCGCTAGCCTCGCAGTGACATTCGGTGATCGGCGCGTTATCAGTTCGTCTATTTCACAATGTCAATGAGAAGGTCAAGCTTATTTTTGTCGCGGCATCCACATAATGACGTTCATGACTCGAATATATAACATCTGTATGTATATTTTTACTAAGATTTGTTCGTAAAATGTTAATAATTTTACTATTTATAGGTTGACTAATAAACGATATCGTAATTCATATTTGGCGTAATGTAATACAAATGTGGCCAGTGGCTGTAGTGTCGGCAAGAGGCGATGTTGTAAATACACGGCGTTTAGCAACGATAACGTTGCCACACTTAACCTTGCCAAGTTCTCACGAGGGAAGTGCCTATTCAGCGCCTTGACAATACCTGTATAGGCCTTTGTTAGGACTGAAACTATGTATCCTGTGTTGCCTAAATACACTATAACTATATCTAAGGATGTTCGAAATAACAAGTTTCCGAACCGGTTACAGCGAGCCGTAGCGTTTGTTGCATGATTCAAATCCCGGAAAAAGTTTCGCTGGAAAATATGACTAACAATTTGCAAATCCTCAATGACGGACGCGGTTTGATGGTAATTTTTCGTTTTATCATTGTATTGTAATGTATTGCGAAAGCCGACACATGACATTGTAAAAACGATGGTTGTGGCCTACAAGTGCGATCGACCAGCGAGGCCGTGACATATAATATTGACATCAGTATTTTAATAAAAAACTTACATTAATCGATGCGAAATTTTCACGATCTTGATGTTAACGTTTCATTACATTAACCAGTTGTGATTTCGACAATTGACTAATTGAAATGAAAGGGAAACGCCATGTGGGCACATTATTAGGAATTTTGGTTTATCTCTACGGGGCGTCTATCCCGTGGGATTCAAGGAACCCTTTCAGATTGTCTAGCGGATATAGCTACTGTTACATTATTATTAAATAACTCTGATCTTTAATAATGTTATATTTGGAAGTTGGCTATAAACTATTTGAGATTGTTTCCTGATTTGCGCGTCCGTTGCACCAGAGACCGAGGCTCTGGCATCATAATGAGCAAGGAGAAACAAACTAATTACTAAATGGACCGGAGGTCGAGTAATACAAGAGATTACACAGTGTATCAATCAAACAAAACTGCGCAACCTCAGTTCTGTTGAAAACCGGCACAATTTCATCACGACGTGTTACGTGTCCCGCTCGTGTCGTCTCGCCATGATGAATCGTTGTGCCTAAATGAGTTTTTACTAAAAGAAACAAAGGCAACATGTCCTTAGGCAATCGAATGTTAACGCAAGGACTAACGTTCGAAATGATATACCTACAGTTTGAATTACAAATAACAGCTACTGCTTTGCTAACTACCCTCAATATCAAGATATGTACTTTAATTTCATATGCAAATGAATAATCAACGATATCGCGAGCTATGATAGGAGTAAGTTAACATTGGAACAGTAATTATTTGATGTTATGATAATAACTGATCCTAAATTCAATGTTCTCAAAGCTGCAACAGGCAGCCACTAAGTCAAGTTGTTTGTGATACCAATTTCGTATTGTGCGAGGTTGGGACGCCGTCCGACTGGTTTTTCGTTTATAGATTTAGTTATCGATGTAGGACTCACTTTGCAAACGTATTCCTCGTGCGTGCGCACGTCCACACACCGGCATAATGAAGAACCTTCCACTTGTTCTAGCAGGAGGTACTTCTCGGCTACCAGGGCCGCTTGGAACTGGTGTTGAGGCGGCGAGGGACTCGGGGGAGCTGGGCTGGATGGCGAAGGAGCTGCAGACAGGCGGTCAGCTAAAGATGGAGACTGCGCCCTGTCCTCGGCTTTGTTGTTCTCTTCGTTGACAGGCACCGGTACAGTCACCGCTGGTTTGCTCAGGCGCAACGGCCATAATAAAGAAGGCGATCCGGGATCCATCACAACACTAAAACACTGTCACTGACACTTAACACAATGTTCACAGAACACAAACACTTAAATCGAAGAAGGAACTATGATGATACGTGCATGATCTGCAAAAGAAATGCAATCCAATTAGATGTTTCGTATACCTCCCGCGCTTGCAAATTTCATTGCACACTACGCGGACTCTTGCAAAATTTTAAAACTATGAGACAATCGACTATTTAGTAACACGGTTTAGCAAGGGGAAATTGTTGATTCCTACGAATATAGTACGAACCTTGAAATGATTCGCCCTGAGAGGATATCGTACCAAAATTTGACTGTCCGTAGTGGCGAAATTCGCTTACTAACACTGAATTACTTGAATTAAATCGGAGTAATTCGAACGAGTATAGACAGGCCAATATTTTGGGCCGGTGTCCGCTCGGGTTGAAGTGAAACTAAACAGACACACAACCACCTCCCACGGACGCCATTGCGAGACTGACTAGGAGTAGTGTGACTGTGACGAGGCTGACGCGGCACTCGGATGGCGCCTCGGGCCGGCAACCGATCCAACGTCCAATGTCGACACACCGTCAGCTTGCGTAGTACGCAAGCAACGCCACGCGGTTTGTAGGCGATCTGAAGCAATCCTGCTGTCTCTTTCTGGCACACCTTACTAGGGTACCTCGGAATGAGAGAGCGTCATACCATTCATTACGTTTTGCAATGCAATGATGTCAAATTAGAAAAATTATAATAAGTATAGTTAGATTATTGTTTACTAATATTTCTTAATAACTTTAAATAAATAAAAATATTCGTAATTCATAAGGTGATGAATACGAATCTTAAAAGTTCTTCCTAATGAGTCTGTAACAATTAAATGTTACCACACGTGTTTTAAAAATATTTTATTACAACGCTAATTTATTATAAAATTACTAATTTATTTTTAAGTAACTTGCAAAATTGCGTAATATTATTGCAAAAATAAACAATTTTAATTGCAACATATTATGGCAAGTTAACAATAGCTGATTAGGAAATATCGAAATATTATGGCAGTTTGTATTTTGATTGCGTTCTTTTAAATTTAAGAAAAACAGACACCAAATGTGCGCTCCTTCAAAAATTTCACACTGACTTGTAAATAAGTGTTGTTTATATTTGAATCATATTATCATCTATATATTAGTAGTTAACCATAGTTTAGTGGTAATAAAGGTGGCCTTTATATAAATAGATTCTTTTAAAAAATCCCAGGTTCAATATCACAGACTGATTAAATATTTATATAATGTTATTAGTTCCTGACATAAATTAAAATCATAGAAAAATGTGATGCAATCATAGAAAAATGTGATGGAAGCATTATTATTTTTAAGAGTTTTAGTTTGGCTGTTATTTTTTTTTATATTAATATTTCTTATCATAGTAGTTACTGGCAGGTTATAAATGTTTGTAAAGCTTGTTTGTGTTCGTGTATAACTATTCCATATTTGAATTAAGTTTTAGACGTACGGATCCGTATCCTGTTCCTGGCTGTTTGGTGTTTCTCTTAGCGGGCCCGCATTACACCTTGTTACTGGAGGCGGAAGTCGGCAAACATTGGCCAGGACGAGCAAACAATCCAAATACTATTTGAATGTGACGTGTGAACGCAGCAGAACATTCAAAGTTTGTTATAATTTCTTTACTTTTTACAACATAAATGATTTTAAATTTCTTTATTTTCAATAAATTATATAAATGTTTGTCGTATTTTTTTAAATTTCTTAATATGACAATCTAATAACTTTGACAGTGTCTTGTAGCAATTGTCAAAATAAAATTTATTTTAAGGCATATGTTACATACATATTTTATGTAAATGTGTTTGTTATTTACAAATAAAAAAATAGTTCAAAAGTATATATTATTTCAAATAATTATGTGACTTACCTTAGATTAAAATAGATTGCGAAATTCACTAAAAGAAAAATTATATTAGGGATAAAATAAATGTATTATAAATAAAAAATATATATAAATTAAAACAACACCTAGCAGAGTGACAGATTCCTTGCAACTGATACTATACTTGAAAGGGGTTAAAATTGTGGATGAAATTACACAATATTTTTTTACTATTGTGCAAGTAAAGCCATAAGTTATCTCTTGTATGACCTGTTGGTTGAGTCTATGACGTCACTGTCAAAATTATTTAAACTGGCAATTTAAATTATCTGTCATAAATGACGTCTTCGGTCTTGTTATTGAGAACTAAGGATTCCCGCGGGCCGCGTATCCATTGAAACAATTAATATGTTTTGATCTTTTATCCATACATTTTGTTACATATATTGTTTAATGTTTTCGTCTTCTGACCGACAGCGACTAGTTTTTTGAGTACTTTGAATTATACACTACAACAATTAAATAGGTACCTATATATTTTGATATTGAAAAAAGACATCCGTTTTGATTGGTACGAAACCTTGGTTTTATAAATCTAATAATTTAAAGTAGTTTGAATTTAATAAAAAGGGTTCCGTATCTGTTTTTTTTTTAAATTTTAGATATAAATTTCAATAAATCAATCTCTTTGTAGGGATGCATATTACGACTCTGGAATTATTTCGTTCGGAGATTCTATAATACAAAAAACAACACTAAATGTTAAATCTATAATTGTAAAAGCTTTAAATGCAGTCCCATTTCATTTTAAAGATTTACTTTATTTTATGAAAGCACTACATTAATAATATTTAAAGTTCATCAAATCTTTTGCAAACAAACAAAACAGGAATACTTATACAATACATAATGTCGTCTATTAAGATGAAAAAGCGTTAGCAAAGTAAAATTCTTCATGTTATCTTCTATATATATAAAAATGGATTGCTGTTCCTTAGTCTCGCTAAAACTCGAGAACAGCTGAACGGATTTATCTTATCTTAGTCTTGAAATGTTCGTGGAGGTTCAGGGAAGGTATAAAAGCTGAAAAAAATTGATTCATTACTGGGAAAACCATAAAAACAGCCCTTTTCTATTTCCCATACAAACTTTTTTTTGACATTAGATTTGACAACTAACTAATATGTCAATCATTCCGTCGCACTTCAAAACACGGAGATTTAATGCTTACAGGTAAACTCCAAAAATATAAATATAAAAACGTAATAGATATTTCTTGATTATAGGGCGATAGAAAGTTCGCCAGGTCTTCTAGTTTAGAATAAAATATTTGTCGTAACTTACTTCTACATCGACAATAAAATAAGTCACAAACTTCAACTAAAAAGTTTTAATACAACAGCAACAAGAGAAATTATACCTAATTAATAATACGCTGCTGTCGTTTATTTTATTTCTTCGAAGTATTTTAACATGAAGGTCTAATATAAGACAATGACACAAGTTTAAATTTAAGTTTAATTAAAGAACGTTAGTCAACCTGCTACTTATTCATAGTTTCCTTGAAAAGCTTCAATCATTTGTTCTTTTCACGTCATGTTGGTACATGCTGGTGAAATATTTCGTAATATTAAATCTTTTCTTTTTACCAGCTTTTAACTCTATTTGTATTCAAGCCGTTAAATATTCTATTCTTTGCTTACAAAGGAAGTTTAAATATTTAAGACTATCGGTAAACCTATTTAACTCATAACCAAATTAAGGTAAAATTTAATGTACTTAACCTTATCTAATGAACTGTTGTCAAATAACATTAAGAATAATAAAAAAAAAACTTTTCAATCGCCTACTTTCTGTTTCACGCAGAAGCCGGAAAGGGAAGAAGTAAAATTTAAATGTCAGGGTCATAATTCATTTTAATATATATATGTCGTATATAAAATGACATTAAAGAACATTTCACTATTAAGATATTTCAATTAAAATCGTTTAAATCTTTATTTTACTTATAATAAAAAATTATTGGTCCAATAAAGTTCAAATTACCGTAACCATTGTCTGCCCTCACCTATACTGATTGTACTCAGATCTGACTCATCAATACACGGGTAAATGATGCATCGGTTCATATCATTGTTGAACTTATGCATTCTTTTATGAGTAACGCCGAAAGCATTTTAAAAATTATCAATTTATTTCCTCCTTTTGTACTCGTATTATTATTATGTTCATTTTTATCATTGTATTTGTTAATAATAGATAAATAATTAACTTTATTTACACAACACAATAAAATTTAAGTTTTTAAATATGGAACATGTCACGATTGCAAAATAATAAACGTCAAATCATTAGTTCGCGTCACAAGCGTATGTCAAAATGTGACACATTTTAAGGGTCGCTTGAATAAACAAATTCGTGACTAATTTCTTGGAAAAACATTAGGACAAAGTTGTATTTATATTTTGATTTGTATTTTAGTGTGAGGATTTTAAATGTCGAGAATCATCATATTACAATATATACAAAATATAATTTGTTGATAAAACGTTTACACACATAATGTTCTATCTTAGTGAGGTCAGGCGATAAAAGTAAGGCCTAAATTGCTCAAGGAAAACTGGTAGCTCGCAATATGTTAGGAATTCAGTACTTTATCAGATTTCTAGATTTAGGACACATAAAATATTAAATGTTCAATAATATATCATATTGTTATGACGATAAGGATTATTGGGCGTCTTTGTTAGACGAAACATTGAAAACATACTGCGTGCTATAATTAATTGTTTTGTTTGTACTCGTGATCGCTAAAAGGGATATTGTTTGTACGTGGTGTCTTAATATTAGACTGTGGTTTACTGATTATCTGCATATTAAGATACAATGTTTCGTGTAGCGTGCCCCTGTGGTTTGAAATAGTGACGTGGAGATATTTGTTACTATAGACCTTTATATTATACGTATATATTCCAGGAGAAGAGATGATTTATATCAAACAAGTTGGGTTTTGCATCTGCATCTATTACCTTACGATTCTGGACGCATCGTTACTTTCATGATTAAATTCTTTTTTATTAGGAATCTATAAAAGACTATCAAATTAAAAGTGGGAAAAAAAGAAGTTAAAG